CCAAATATCAAATTCTTAGGCTTTACATAATAGTAGGTATATCTACTCTTACATATACCAATTTCATTTAAACGTGTACTATCACCGTGGTTTTATTTTAACCAGTTTTAGTATTTTTTCTCAGTAATAAGATATTTCCCCGCAATAAAAAGTATCCTATATCTTGACCCGGAAAACCAGCTATAACCATACCAAATCCCATCAAAATCCCTCCAGTGGTTTTTCTGTGATGCGGTAACAGACGAACAGACAGGCAGACAGACAAAAATTCTAAAAACTGTAGATTCGGCCTCTGTATCGATAATAATGTCTATTTCAATTAGATTTTCAAAAAAATATTTAATGTACAGATTCGACTCTTTACAATTTTATTATATGTATAGATTATTTTTTTATTCTTTTGGGATATTTGTAAAAGAAATATGAAGGATATACATTATACAATGTACACGGTGTAGATGTGTAGATGAACCCTGGACGAAGTAAGGGCAAATCGATAGTTAAGTACATAACAGACGATTAAACCACCATCTCATAGGGTATGAAACATCAAAGATTACCTACTTTAGTCGTAAGTCTGACTTGATCGTGTAAATGCACCCTCGTCAATGTCAGGTAGATTAGTGTCACGATTGATTTCATAAGGTTTTACGTTCAGAGAGTAATGGGTTTCTACCATTTTATGGCTTGTTTAACCAATGTAGGGAATTAGCATTATCTAGTTTGCTTTACGATCGAATCATTTTTATTATTTGTTTTTGTAAGATAATATTATATAACTTTAGTTTGTTATATGCATTATTAATTAGTTTCTCGATATTATATTGATGTCATTAGTACGTACCAAGGATTTTTTGGGGATATCTTCAGATAGGTAAATGTTTTTAATGCTACCTTGAGATGATTGATAATATAATGCTGAGACAGATTTTTTTAAATAAAAATGATAATTTAACATGTATCAAAATAATACAAAATCAATAAAATATAGTCGCTGGTGGTACTAAATAGTAACTTGCAAATATGATTTTACAAGGAAATTTTGTCAAGTATATTATTTAATTCTGTTGCTTTTATTTGATATAATTTAGTGAGCCTTAAAACTGAGCCCTTTAGATTTTAAAATGTGACACTAATCTACGTAGTTGGATATCACGTAGTACAAGTAGGCAATTAAATAATAATAGAATGCAATATTGTAAACTAATAATACTTTAAAATAGCATGATCGGCTCTTCTCAGCAGAACTGCCTTCCGAGCCGGTGGTAGCAGGTGGTAGGTAGGTGGTAGGTTACATACAAACATATAATTAAAATTTAAAAAATGTAAAAATTGAGGATTCATAAACGTGCAAAAATCTATTTGAAAATACACAAATTTTGATTTGATTTGAAACAAATATTTTTTATTTACCAGTTTTTTAACTAAATTACTTGAATAAGTACACCAGAAATACATGTACACAGATGCACAACTAAGTACCTACTGTATTATCTAAATTGAACAAAGTTTACGAGTTTAGCGTGTTGTAAACAAATGTTGTATCGTTAACTCTAACGATGTAATTTTCTATTAGCGAGCCGCTTTGTTGTATGGCGTAAGTCAAAAAAAATATAGAAAAATGCTATTCACAGCCATTTTTATTTATCATTGGTATACCTTCATACTGCCTCGGTCTAGTGGCTAGCATGTTAGACCACAGATCCAGAGGTTCTAGGTTCTGGTCGCGTGTTGAGCCAAGTTCAGTTATTGAGTATTTTTGTCAAGACATTCTCAGTAAAAGCCCGGATTTGGGAAGTTGGCGGTATTTCCCCCCGTGCCTCGGAGAGAATGCTGGCCGTCGGTATTGCACCTTAACTATCACCGGTCGTGTCGAGCAGTCGTCCCACCGGAGTATGAGAGAGACAGGTATAGAACGTGCACTTGTGTCTGCGCTCATACTTGTACACTATAATATCTCCTGCGCAGATGGCTAATCTTAATGAGATTTTCCGTCATAGCCAAAATCCGGTCAGATTAATCCGAATAAAATAAGAGGTAAGATTTTTTTTGTTTGTTTGTACCGAATAAGCTCCGAAACTTGAGATTCTGGGAAGGACATAAGAAAACTCTTATTCCAGTAGTCATCCCTTAAGGGGGTGAAAATGGGGACTAATGTTTGTGTGGGGAAGCAATCCAGGGACGAACCCCAGCGAAGCGAGGGTGAGTCGCTAGTCTATATTAATATATTTATATTAATATATATCGTTTCTAATGACACATGCCATATAGTGATTTAGAGCTAGAAGAAAGCGTTTTTTTCCTAATTCAGGTAAATTTGAATTATTCATGAAAACATTTTTTTTTACTTTATTTAAATTGAAGACAACTGCCAGTTCTTCAGTTTGGTTTTGCTCCTACTACATGTCCCATCAAAGAAATTAAAACGTCTATCCCCGTCAAGGTAGCTTTATTCCCTCTTTTCCAGGAAATAACGTTTCATGTAATTTTTGAATAAAATCTTAGTCGATAATTAAAGCCCTATCAAAATAAGTTCAGTTGTTTTAGAAATTAGCGGATGTAAGTAAACATATAATTTATATTGAACGAATATATAAAATTCACCTCCATACTAATATTATAAAAGTGAAAGTTAATCTGTTTTTTTTTGTTTGTTTGGTTGTGGCATGATTTTGTCTTTAGATAGAAGGTTGGAGGAAGTTGGTGAGCCGCTAGTATAATATAAGAATTAAAATTCAATTAGCAATCCAACAAATAAATAGTTTTAATCTTATCACTTAGACCACACTCTAATTGGTGTACCGACGCCTTACAACAGTTTGGATGAGTACGGATATTGTTAAGCGTCAAGCATTAAATTCTGCTTGTAATAAGTGCTTGAAGAAATGGAAAATTAAACGGGTATTTAATTTAACACTTTAATTGGCTCTGCAGTTGAGTTTCGCTTTGAATTTAACCCGTTACTAATGAGGGGTTATAATTGTACCGTTCATTGTGCCATTTTTCTATGAGCCTATAAAGATTTAAGTTTAAAAAGAAAGTGTTAACATTTTTGTATAGTTGAGTGGCTATTTCATATACAAATTACGTGTCAAGTGATGACTTGAAAAGCGATAATGATTAAAGAGGTCCTAATATATTTGTAGTGCATTTACTTAGACTACAAATGCATTATGGTAACACAAAGATTATTTATACCAGTATATGTATATGATGAGATGCTCACATAGTGTAATGTAATTTTTTATGAAGAAAAATAGAATTGTAAAAAATATAGGTAATTTTAAAAGTGAATTTTGTAAAGACCACTTTATTGTAATAATCAAAATAGATAGAATCAATTATGATTCTAAAAAGTAAATATAAGTATATTAAATAATTCATTTATTTATTAATCATTAATATTTATATATTGAATAATTATTGAATAAAAGTTAATTTAACCATAGATTTTTTAAATATGCAAAATTAATACTGAATGATGAAAAATGTACGTTTTGATTCAACGTCCCCGTAATGAATGCTTCATTTTAATCTCGGCTTCGTTTTTAAAACAGCATTCCTATAATATTCTGTGGTTAATTTTATCTCCATCTTTTTTCTATTATATATTCGCTTTTTCTTTTGTATTTTCACTTCCACTGGCCCGTTCCAGTGTTTTGCAATCTTGATTCATGGTTTGAAAAGGTATTGAAATAAAACTTTAGAATACTTTTATTATATTTTATTAAAATTGTTAGTTTGCTTTAACTTATAAGTTCCTTAAATCTGTACAGACTGTTTTATTTATATACGTACAACGAAATGGATGCTAGCGAAATAATACATGAAGTGTTGAATTAATCTATTTGTATACTTTTCATTTAAAATACTAAAAATTAATAAGAATTGTAATACAAACAGACAATCTTTACTGACCTCGATAATTAATTAAACCAAGTAGATAATAAAACCAAGAGCTTGTTAGCTTTCTGAAAAGTACTTGAGTCTGGTGTTTTGGATATAACGTGGACGCTTCATTTAATTATCTACATACAGGCTTAATATGACCCAACGTTGATCCAATTTGCTAACTCTTATTTGCATAATAAGAAATTTTACATAATAAATTACATGAAATCATGAAATGTTAATTAAAATTAACGAAAATAAATAACATTAATAGTAAATTCTGTTTTTCTATGAATAATTAACTAAAACAAGAACAAATGTGATGAAAATTATTTTATGAACAAGGTTTTTTTTTACTTTGGATATTTCAAAAAATTCTATTAGAGCTTCAGCTAACAAAGAAATCAATATATGTATGTATGTATTTGTAGTCATTTACATAGAGAATCTATTCAGTATTTAGTCAATGACATCGTCATTGCAAAGAACAAGGGTTAATCATTACAACCTGTTATACCGTTAGCTAACTATTTACATATTTACAAAACTATTGGTCCTTCTATTTAAAAAAAAAAAACAAGAAAAATAAAATTAAAAAGTTATTTAACAGTACTAAATATAATTTCAAATTTCACAAATGATAAATATAGAAATCATTGCTTTAAAATTTGAAGGTGTTTATAATAATTGGTGTTTTACACACTTAAAATCTATTTTTTCCACGTACAATGAAATAATTTTACTTCAAACTAATAATCAATAGAAAATAATAAACAAAATCATTTGTTTCATAAAATTCGACACTCATCAGGATGGATATGGGGGCTGAGTCTCTTTATTTACACAATCTATACACTATCATATAATATATATATACAATCATTTACATCAAATCAAAGTCCCATTCAAGATAAGTGGATATGGCAATATTAAACACTGTTCTAATGTCTTTTCACTAACACGTTTTTAACGCCTTCTTATATAGCACGTATAAGTCATATATAATCTGTAACGCACTTGAGAAGGTCCGGCGGGAGTCACACAATCTCGTCATGGTGAGCCATATCACTGCAACTGCCAGCCCGTTGCAGTCAGGCACGCTGACGTCACACTCTCAACTCCTCCATTGTAACATTCGACTTCGCATTTAACTGAGTATTCTTCTTTGTTAACGTACTAGTATTCATTAATTGCATCTGATGAGATAGCAAGGGCTGGTTCTCCTGGAGCTGACCACTTGCTAGGGTATTTATGTTGCTTTTCCCAATTTTTGGAGGAGGAGGTGCTCGAGGTAGTGTCGCCATTCCAGCTACATTATTACTTGGCAAATCAGCAAATTCTGGCGGAGGAAGCTGGTGGTGTGAATGCGTGTGGTGATGACTTAAAATAGTCGCAGGATCATTTTTTAAACTCGTCTGAAATGTCAAAGCGCCTTCAAGATCACCACAAATATTGTTCGGCATCTGGCCGTTTTCTACACGTTTTTTTAAATGCGACCCATTCGCGTGGCCGTCTTGTCCGTTCATCCTTGTTTTATCTCGTTGGTAGTATACACCAGCAAATATGAGCACATTTAATATGAGCAACGAACAACCTATAGCTATAGTTACACTAAGGGCAGTGGAATATGCAGCGAAGCCGTCCTCTGGAGGTGCTGATGTAGATCCGTCTGTTTTGTGAACATCAGAAACACCAATAGTGCTTTGGGTCACCGCACTTAATCCTACAATATTAAAATTTAATGGCGATGTTACATTCAACACTGATAGTAAGGGGATTTTGGTGGCTACACCAGTGTCTGTAAGCACCATTTCAGTTGCCTTCTTAAAAGGGGGCGTGAAAGTTTTTAGTGTTGGTTGTAATGATGATTCTTCATTTTCTAATTGATGATGCGATTGAGGAACATCCTCTCCACCCGGTCGATGGAGATCTGGTACTAGGTTTAACCAGAATGACAGTCTGTGAACAAGTAAGAACTTTAAAACTGCAAAACTAAAATTAGTTTAAGCAATAATCGTTGTAGTATCTTATTTGGTCATTAAATTGTGATTTTAAACATATATATATATATATATATATATATATATATATATATATATATGTGTGTGATTTTAAATTTGGGAATAATACGCTCTAATTTAATGTTTCCTTTGCCTTAATCGTAAAAATACGCAAAATTTTAAAACAAAAAATTTAATTTTTGGAGTAATTTTACCATCGGTGGCAGGTATAAATAATAAAACAGCTGTATCATGTTATTAAAAGGATCAATTATTGACATATTATTTATATTCATTCAATCGCATGAATATAAAACGATTTGTTTATTTTATTCTGCATATATTTATTTAGTGTGATAAAAATGTAAAATGTAGTTAGGGAAAAAATAGTAAGGGTCTATTATGATAGACATAATATAAAAAGTTTGCTAAGTTTCTTTCGCTAGTTCTTCTCAGGTCTGAGGCTTTTTCTTTCAGAAATCGTGTAGACTCATGACGATGATCTTTAGACAAACAGTAAAAATTGTACTAAATACTGAGTAAAATATTTTGAATATGAATACCTACGAGTACATATGAACATGACGTGAACTACAAATACACTCATCTACAATTTTTTGCTATCTTTGTACTTCAAAAAAAGTGAAGTACTCAATTTGAACGAGATTTGATGTTTTTTAAATTAATTAATATTGATTATACTTATGATTTTCAATGATTATATTAAAAAACTCTATGCAAATTTTAAGTTAAAAATATATAAGAAATAATAATGAATATAATATAATTTGAGACTAGCGAATCACCTTTGCTCCGCTCGCGTTCGTCCCTAGTTACGTTTTAACGTTTAGTACAGATTTCTCACAAATGAGACATTTTCCCGCAGTAAAAAGTATCCTATATGTTGACCCAGATAACTAGCTATAATCATACCAAATTTCATCAACATCTGTTCAGTGGTTTTATCGTGATGCGGTCACAGACAGCCAGAAAAAAATTCTAAAAACTATAGATTCGGCCTCTGTATCGATAATAATGACTATTTAAAATATAATAAAATATTTAATTTACAGATTCTACTCAGAATTTTATTATACGTATAGATATGTATACTTACCTATGTGCTCTGTAATGATTTTTCAATTTTGATTTGATGTCAATATTTAGATATTTCTTGTGTACTGCTTCGTACGCGGTCCACTCAATATTCTTCATTCTTACCCTTTCTTGTCGTCCGGCTCTAATTGGGTCACTCTCTTGGGCTTCATTAGGATTCCTATTAAAATATTTTATATATAAAAAAGAAAATTCAAATATATGCAAATTGAAATTTTCATATTTTATAACTTTTAAGTTTTATATTAAATAATTAACTAAACTTAAAATACTGAGTTTATTTTAATTGTAAGTTTGTCTTAAAACTGCAATCAATTCTTTAAACAGCCAAATAGATACTGGAATGTTAATCAAATAATTTTATTTTAAAATATCTATTGTTTTAGTATTTCGAACTGTGTAAATATAGCTCCAATAAACAAATAGGTTACCCAGTTTTAGCGAAGTTTCCCCAATATAGCATAACCGATTCAGACAGCGCTACTTCTGATTTAGTATAGTTTCGGGGGAAGTGAGTCAGACCGCCGACTAGTGGTGCTCCAAATATGTACGGGAGTTCCTCTCCGTGAATGCAGCCTTGGCGCTGTTGGAAATAGATGAAAAAATATTATAAAAGCTAACGGTTTGAAAAATTATTGTCTAAAACTATCTATATATAAAAAAAATCGATGTGTTATCTTCCTAATTGACTTCAAAACGACCGAAGTGATTTTGATGATATTTTCAGGCAATCTTCAGACAGTCCAGCGGATAATCCTGTTTGAAGTTTAGTAGCGATCACAAATTTGAATGCGGGTACTGCTAGATGTAGGTACATAATACAACAAACGTAGTATATATATATATATATATATATATATATATATATATATATATATATATATATATATATATATATATATATATATATATATATATATATATATATATGGGCGAGTCGCTAGTATTATTACAATTTACACGAGCCTTGGAAATGACTGACTAGAGTTAATTATATATTAAAATTGCCCTAATTACTTCTATTCATTACAAAGTATGGTGTCAGTAGTATAATTAAGGCGTACGTGTACGAATATATTAATTTTCTTATACCAGAAAGAGGTTGTTTGCGGTTTTACTTTCATGTTTTTTTAATTGATTCAAAACCACTAATAACGATCTCCGATTTATAGGGAAGGAGCTTAAAATGTATAGTGGTTTAGATGAGCCATATCGTATTATTAATTTACTTTGCTTAAAATTAAGCTATTTTATATGACATCAAGTACTAACTCAATACCAAGCAAAGAAACGAATAAACATAAACTATTAAACCCATTTAGATATATGTATTCAGTGTATTATTTTCGTTATGTTTGTTTGTTTTAATATAGTGTACAATAAATAATATATCAATCAATCTATCTATGTACCTATACATACATATATTTCATACCAAGTTTCTTATAATGTAAGTATCTTTCTTATATTTCAACTGACACTTTTTAAAGCCATTAACAAGAGAACTGAATATATGTTGATTTTTTATTCCAATTACTATAAACAAAGTCGCGAAAACTAACTTGTAATAAATTTCTTAGAAATTATGAATAAATGAAAAAAATATAGAGAGAAAGCTGAGTTTTACAAGACTCAATATTTGACTTCGGCGACGCTACGATTTCAAAGGCAATATTTAATATGAGGTAACATTTTCATTTCATACACTGTACAAATAAAAGGCGGGGTGTTTTAAAAGAAATGATTCTTTTTAAAGTTTCTATATTTTTTGTATAAATGCTTTCATGTTCGCATCTTGTATATTGAAAGCGAAATATTTTTACTCGACTGCGGCAGGAGGAGGATTATGTTTTTCGAGAGTATGTATGTATGTATGTATATTTACTTGGCACGCTCTGTAGTCTAAACGCTTGATCGTTTCAGCTTGAGAGGTATCGTTAGATTCGTCTTAATTGCGAGAGTGACACTAGATTTATAGATTTATGAAAATGAAAAAAATTAAAATGGCTGTTTTTTGACTTATACCTAGTCGTCAAAAAATTTTATTACACCTTTTTTATAGATTTTTTATTATTTCACGATCTTTTTCTAACAATGCTATGAAAATGTATTATAGTAGTTTCGTCATATTTTTAAATTATTTAAAGTAAAAAAATACACACAGTAGGAAAAAATTACAAAAAGTGCAAAAGAAAATTGTGTGAAAATATAAACCTAAATGGAGAAAGCATTAAATTTCACTTTTTTTTTAAATGTTGGTTGGGACGTTAATATCCAGTACCATCTAGCTCCATACTAAGCTATGAGGCTTGTCTTATGAAAACCAGATAGTTGATACACTACACATATGATAAAACTATAAATACATACATATCATAAATATAAACACCCATGAGTGCAGTACAAGCATTCGAGTTCATCACACAAATGAATGCTCCCAACGAGACTCGAAACCGCGACCGCTGGCACAGCAAATAGGGTCACTACAAACTGAACCAAACGTGTCGAAAATTTCAAGTAGAAATTGGTTCATTTTAAACATTTTACAATTATTATTTCTCTTCTTATTGAAACCATTAAAGAAAATTTATCAAAAATGATATACATATGTCTTGTAGCTAAGTCAAAGCTGTTTCAATATATTGGCCGTATTGACGTTAGAAGCTATCTGAAATACACGAGAAATCGTAAGTCTGTACATTGGAAGATTTATGTCCTGTTGCTAATGCCACGATCGGTTTAGAATAGATGTGGAAAAACATTTCGATAAAATATTGGTGGACAATTCGTCACAAATCTTGGCTCGTGGAAATTTTAACATCTGAATGTAATAAGATTTTGAGTCTAATCTGTACATTAAATATTTTTTTGAAAATCTTATTGAAATAGTCATTATTATCGATACAAAGGCCGAATTAATAGTTTTTAGAATTATGTCTGTCTGGATCACGAGAATACCACTAGACAGATTTTGATGAAATTTGGTTTGATGATAGCTGGTTATCTGGGTCCACATATAGGATATATTTTACTGCGGGAAAATATCTCATCTCTGAGAAATCTATACTAAACGTCAAACCGTAACGAACCCGAGCGGAGCGAGGGTGAGTCGCTGGTGTACGTATAAAAGTGATTTTCTCAAACAAGTTTAAGGTTATTTCGTGTAGTATCGTTTTTAAACTGCCAGGTTATTTTAAAGCTTCTTGATTTGATTGTTGAGAAAAATATTTTATTTTTTTAATGTATTGTTATTTGTTCTTTAACTTTAAATTTGAAGTATCGGATGCTTCCCTAGGTACGTTTTAATTTTTTGAGCGGCTTTTTCTAAAATAAAATATGTTTAAAAAATAAAATAACCTTCTAACATCAGAAATCTGCCAGTGAAAGACCAGTTAAAATCAGTCCAGCCGTTTCGAAGATTAGCCGGAACAAACAGACAGACAGTTGGACAAAAAAATTAAAAATTGTGTTTTTCTTATAAGTAGGTACTGTGTATAATTTCATACGCATTTAGTCAAAAGCAGTTATTTTGATATTAAAAACAGGCACATCAATTTAAAAAAAATATTATAAATAGAATTTATAAATGTTAATTTGAGAGTAAATTATAATGTATATTGTATATAATTAATAATTTGTGAGTTTGTTCGTTTTTAACACTTTACAGGGTCAATGGATTAGAATATAGCTCGGAATGGAACTGACCTATATAGAATAACTTATAGATAGGCTATTATTTATTGGCACAGCTTCGAAGCTGTGGGCAAAGACTTATATGGTAGCTTAGTCGTTGAAAAATAAAAGAGAATAGAAACATGCTATTTTCATGGCATCCGTTACACTATAAAATAAAATTATTAAAAATATTTATCATAATGGTAGGAAAATATCTTATTTATTAGCCAAGGATTGGCTATATTTAACCCTGGCAAAACCAGTGGTTATCTCCAAAAAATATTTTTGGGGAGCAACCAGGGGAATTGACATTTTATAATATTACCCAAAAAAAACAATAATTTGCTTTGCTAATAGAGGTCGATAAAGTAAATTTGAAACAAGGTACGTCAAAACTTTCATGAGCTGAAACTAACCTGATGACTACATCACATCATCATCGCCTCATCATCAGATAACATTGACTTTCATCATCATCATCACATCAGATAAGATTGACTGTTTTTAATGATCTTATTTTATTGACAAACCTCCTTCGTATCTTCTCCATTTTAAGTGAGATAGGCGAAGTAATCTGTGGTCAACTGGCACGCTTTGAAGCCAATAACAAGAAAATTGAATTGAAGATTGAGTGTAGTTAAACAGAATCCTTCAAAAAGTTGTTATGTGTGTACATTTTACTTACTTTTTTACGCTCAAACAGTTAATTAGACACAGATAGACTGTGTCTAGGAACTAACCTTGCCATTAGTAATGTCATATTATAATAAATGCGCGAATGTGTATGTGTCATGTGCGCGCGCCTCGTGTGCGAGAGTGTGTGTTCGTGTGTGTGCGTGTTCGTTTGTTTTTTTCCTTTATTTATTCCTGTCGTATCGTCTCAATGATTTGACTGTTTAGAGTAAAAGTTATACTGCCTAGTTTACTATTTTCACAAATTTTCGCATTTTTAATAACTAAGTTCAATAAATGTAAAAAAATATTTATTTCCATCAAATTCTGCTTCACAAAACTTAATATTATCATATTTTATCACCCAAAACCGTGGTATACTATAAGTGTACAATAAAACCAGAGTTTAAGCTTACGCGGTAATAACACAATGCAAGCGGATCCCACGAGTTGAACGCTAATAGAGACTTAAGAACTTATACCCACAAAACACGATTTACTCTATTATTAAAATTTACTAACTTACTTTTGAGATTAATATGAAATTTCTCGCAAGAGAATAGTTTACGTGGATTAATTGAGAGAAAGTTTATAATTTTATTTAACGTCGTAATATATAGACAGAGTAACATTGACATAGATCTACCATAAAGTATAATACTTGTTTTCAAATGCTAGTGCTTGCCCAGTGGTCGAAATTTGAAGGAAATATATATGAATAAAATTTACCAATCTCTAAATAAGCTCGTCAATAGGTTCTAAGCAAAAAAAAAACGAAAATTGGTTGATAGAGGAGTAAAAGTCACTAAAATATTTTGTCTTTGTCTTTTTTATATATTTTTTAAGTATTTATTAACGTTTTTTAGTCTTATTTTTTCTCCTGGACCTATAAAGCTAAAATATTTTCTCTATAACAATTTATATAATAATTAGCATTGCACGCGGCTCCGCCCGCGTTCAGATGACCAAAAACCAAATTCTTAGGTTTTACATATTAGTATACTCTTACATTGCAGTTTTTGTATTTTTTCTCAGAAATGAGACATTTTATGTGACCCGAATAACCAGCTATGACCATACCAAATTTCATCAAAATCCCTATAGTGGTTTTTCTGTGATGCGGTAACAGACAGACAGACAGAGAGACAAAAATTCTAAAAACTATAAATTCGACCTCTGTATCGATAATAATGTTTATTTCAATAAGATTTTCCAAAAAATATTTAATGTACAGATTTGTGGCTTAGTTACAATTTTATTATATGTATAGACTAAGAAGTTTTTTTTGGATATCAAATTTAATATAGCACCACAAAGCCGAGGTAGGTTGCTAGTATTATAATACATGTAACAAACCAATACGTTCAATATTCTAGCCAATATCTAAAGTTTTATCACGCTACTTATGAATAAGCAAGCCAGTCGATTATGCTACTTGGCAGAGTCTACAAAATGTTCCAAGTTCCATCGCTTTAGAAGCATCTTATGTATGCCACGTTGAACTTTCATGATGAACTTGGCAAGTTTTCATTTTTCTATAGAAATCCCTAATGCATTTAATGAGAGTTCGAAACTTGGTACAGACATTTGGCGGACATTTCTTTTTTGTGGAGATTGTAGGAAATAAGTTTTCTAGTTATTTCTAAAGGCCAGACATCTGCAGAAATTCTCTTTTATAGCTGATGATGATTCTGTCTTTTTAGTTTTTTTTGCAAAAACACTTTTTATCTACTCTCATATTATGTTAATAATATTTTCTTAGATTTACGCGAATATTTGACATTTTGAGAGACAGTCTCTCCCGTAACTATGATTGCTGTAAACCATTCGAAACGTGGGGAACCAAAAATCTAAATAAATCCGAAAAGAAAGTTTTATTTAAAATCTCATAATATATAAAATAATAACTAAATAAATAAAATAAAAAATCTAACAAAACAAAACAAGAATTATCCAATTTGGTGCAGTCGACAGGAAGTTATGCGTGTACATACATTTCGGTAATTCATTTTTATTTATATAGATAGATAGGTGAGTTTTTGTGGCGTAAAGCGTAGTGTTGTCCAAGGACAGAATTAAAGCGAGAGAAGATGCCTAGTATTAAACAAAAAACCACCTTATAAATTATCAAAATCATCGATTCTTTGAACTAAAAAAATAGAAATACACACGATAGAAAGACCACGAAATATTGATAATAGAATATATTAATAATATAATATTAAGGAACAATTTTTGCTGTTTGTGAATATCAAATCCGCATTCTCTAATGAAAGGACTTGGAGGACTTAAGGGTATTATCATTTTGGAGAATGATTTTGGACTTAAATAAATATTTTATTTTTATAAAGGTCATTATCTACGAGTATATATAAATAGGCAAAGACAAAACAGTTGAGTGCCTTTTACTTTTACTTTTTTTTTCTCTGTTTGTCAACCAATTTTTTATCTATTAAATTTTTTTGGAAACAGATAGTTTTTTTTATAGTTAGATAAATTCTATTCATATATGTTTTCCCCGATTTTTCAATAATGATCATTGTTCTATAATTGTTTACAAGAAAAATGGGTGCGTGTAACCTTTACGCGCGGTTGAAGTAAAACTTCTTTGGCAAATATTGCAATTACATTAAAACAAATTAATAATTAAATAAGGCATATTAGGCATATTACAATCATATATTTATACAATATCATATACGGAAAGTATATTATATTATATATTTGTCAAACAATTACAACGGTTAACATGGCAATGTATTTTTATCTCCTTCTCTCACAGACTTAATCCTTTATATATATTTATTTGTCTCTTTTTAGTGTCGCATTTCCGTTACATCGAGTTTCAAATCACAACGATTCTAAACAAAATTTAACTTCGAAATAGAATTGAACAATACTTTTTTAGTCAAAATTTTACTTACTTGAGGATAGTCTCCATATTTCGTTTGGTAATCGAAGACATAGAGGTAGGAATTTCGTCGTAAGGCCGAATGAGTGTCTGCTGTGAGTACTGTGGGTGCTACAACTTGCGCGTCACTCAATGCTTCAAGAGTCTCATCTCTGTGGAAATTACAATTAGTTTAGTATATAAACAAACAAAATGCGAACCTACATTTTTTATCATATAAGATCTATATATAAGATATCAATTTAAAATAACGAAAAATGCTTTAAAGTTAATATACAAAAAGTCAAGATACACAACTATTAGCGTCTCAAAAGTGTCCTCAAAAGATGTGCACAATTTGAAATTGAATTACGTTTTTTTCAAATCTCCTTTATTCATTGCTATTCGGATGATAAAATGAAAACGCACGTTGTTTCCTTTCAAAGAGTACTTTAAGTGATGTGCGAAATTTCAATTTTGTGTTTAGACAGTTATAACTTCGGATTTTTGAATTTTATTCTTTGGTTTGACTTAACATCATAATATCGACGCCATTTTTTGAAGAGATATTGGTTAGAGTTCCTAAATATAGATATAGATATAGCAAAATTTCTACGAGAGTCATGTTAGTATCTACTTGACTCGATTTTTGAAGCGAATGCATTACCAATAACCTACCATTGCTACACAAAACTTGCATAGAACGAACATTTCCAATGGTAAATTTACCTTATATTGATGGGATGCTGGACCGGCCTCTCCCAATCAGTATACTCGTTAATAATTGTGGCTAAAATTTCTGACAAATGATAACTGTATGTGTTTCGGACAAATGATTTTAGAATCTTCGACCTTCTGTCTGCTTCTATTCCATATTGAACATCGTCCCCACTGAAGGCGAAATAGGCTTCAGCTTTTGTTACTCCTAACATTAAATCGTACCTGTTAAAAATAAGATTCCCGATTTAATATATAAATTTTTAATTTATTTTCAAGTAGCGGAGCGAGATATATATATATATATATATATATATATATATATATATATATATATATATCCCTAAATTGAAAAATGATTGCTTCCTCATACAAATATTCCGGGATAAAAACTATCCTATGCCCTTCCCAGCGCCTCAAACTATCTCCATACATAAAATTTCATCTAAATCGGTTTAGCGGATGAAAAGGTAACAGACAGACAGAGTTACTTTAGCATTTATAATATTATTATGGATTTAATATTAATTTAATAACAATTTTGTTGGTTAAAATCATTAATACGAGTCTAATATGAGAATAATATTTTTTTGGCAGATATTCTAAGAATATTGACAACCATTTGGGGCACTTACAAGTATCCCTCTCTACATTACTCTTTTGGGGCAAATATTCTGTCTGAGTATATGTTTGTGTATTATATGAATACCACAGACTACAAAGCAACCAAGTAGTGGCTATCCCTACAAATAATCTCTTACCTACTTAGCGTAGGATTATTTATTTATTGAGACTTTCGCTTTTACCTTGTGTAAAAATCATACAATATTTTTTAAAAAATATATAAAAATAAAAATAAAACCCCCGACTGCGAAAAAGAACTAGAAAGATGAGAAACAGTTGACACAAAACAGTACTAAGCAATCCTTTGGAACACCCTCCTTTTGGCTTCGCTGTAGTCGGGTAAAAATAGGCTATAGTTAGTACTTTTCTCTATTATTCTTTTCATTTTAAAATTAAAACGATAAAATTGCAAAATAATAACCGTTTTTGATAAACTCTTCGCTTAAATTAATAAACTAACTACAAAATTTTGCCATAATACCTATATAAAATCCGAAAACTTAAGATTACTTAAGACTTTAATCAAAAGTATCTCATATCTCTGAGAAATCTATATCAATCGTTAAAACGTTCCTAGGGACGAACCCGAGCGGAACTAGGGTGAGTCGCTGGAAAATATATAAAACGACTAAATAAAATTCTCAAGAATACTTGGATATAATTTGGACTTACTTAGTAAGTTGAGCGATTGCACTTTTCCGCATAAGGACAGCATTGATAATGTTCACAGCAGTGGCCCCCTTGCCAAGCGGGGCACGCGCCACCTGCCATTCATACCCTGGTTCGGGGTTGATAAGCATGTCGCCTGTGTCTAAAAAATAATTTAATCAAGAAAAACATTTGGTAGAAATATAAAATTACAAATGGATATAATGTTTTGTGAATGTATTTTAAAATTATTTTGTTTATAGCTTGACTGACTTTGAAAAACAAAAAGGTATTCAATTCGCACTTCTAAAACTTAATGTGTTTTAAGAATGGCAACATTATGTTGATACATTGTACAAAGTCTGACTCGACAAAATTAAATTCCTAAGAATGAATTATCTTTTTTCACATAATATTCGGTGTAACTTTTTAAAATGTAATGATATATTGTTTACTTCGATGATATCGTGACATAACATTTAGAAGATATAGAATTGATCGATAAAACTAAGATATCACTAGAACGAACCGAGGTTTATATTCCATTATATACTCGTATTTGTATAATTTGTTTTCTAAAAAATTGCTTATAAAAATATTCTATAATGCCAATAATACTTGTTCATTTAGAATTCTTTTTTTGTTTGATAAGTCAAAAAATCGATAATTTCATGTAAGTCTAGTACGTATTATCTTTCATATGCTATACATAATATATGATTAAGTTTATATATAATTAATATATGTTTATTGCTCAATCTACTAAACATATATTGACGATATGTTTGGCTCAGATTGTAGTGTAGGTCGTTTGTTCGACTTCCACTGGGGGCATTCGTTTGTGCGATGAGCACGAATGTTTGTACTCCAGTCAAGGGTGTTTATATTTATAATATGTATGTATTTGAATTTAAAGTTATATATGTGTTATGTGTCAACTATCTAGTATCCATAACACGAGCCTCGTAGCTTACCGTGGAACTAGATAGTGCTGTATGGTAATGTCCCAACATGTCTATTATTTATTATATAGATTAATCTATAACATTCCATTTCACCGTAAAACTGTTCAAAATTAAGCCAAAATTCCACAAAAGTTAGAAAATAAACGTCCTCAAACACAAAACCCGTATAAAATCAAAAGAATTTCTTGTCGGACCAATTGAGATAACTGAAAACATCGACACAAGGGAGCGAGATGAGAAAACTTTGTGGGACAATTTAATAACGAAGCTCGGACGCTCGGCTTGACAACAGATATGTTGGAACAAAATTTGTGAATCCATGAAACTATCAGTTTCAAAGATAAAAAGTCACGATCAGATATAGGCGTATACAGAGATTCAACAATCATTGTAAATATATAAATAGAATTTTTTTAGTTTCGTTGAAAAATTTATCATTTCAATAAAAATTTTAAAAATTTGGTTTATTCCCTCCACGACCGCGGACACGCCGGCATTACATTTAACAATAGATTTCATAGAAATTTAATTATTTTCATAGAAATTCACCTGACACTCTATTTCTGTCTATTGGTAATATTATAAATTGTTAATAATATGAGAGTAGAATAAATGTTAGTTATCATTATTATATAGAGTCAAATGAAATACTTATTTCCTGCGAAGGGTATAGAGATGGCAGCACCAAAAACGGTAATTAATATGAATTATGATTCTTAAAATAAATTCAAAATTTTCCTTTAATTTAAATATGTGGAAAGGAGTGTATTTTCTGGAGTGAGTTGAAGTAATGCTGAAAGTTAATGGTGTCAAAATGTAAATTTTTATAATATGAATTGTGATTGTGTTAAATAATTGATAAGTGATGTGAAAGTGAACTAAATATGGTCAAGTACGAGCGGGTTTCTTATACCGGCCATTGTTTAGAGGAGAAATCTTAAATGGCACTCACATTCTGTTAGTACGACAATTCGACACGATCAGAAGAGCTTATACGCAATAGGCAACGACGGTGAATATCATGGTCAAAGTGATCTATTCGATTTAGTCAAAATTTATTCTTTAAGTACTTAAACATATTGACTACTTCTGGTTTTATTATCCACACTAATATTATAAATGTGAAAATGTGTTTGTTTGTTTGTTCTTCTTTTACGTCAAAACGGAGTGACGGATTGGCGTGATTTTTTGTGTGGAGATAGTTGGAGGACTGGAGTGTGACATAGACTTTTTATCGCGGGAGATTACCTAATTCACACGGGAAAACACGTTTTTATTTTTTACAATCACAATCACACAATCACAAATTACAATCAAAATCACTTGAAACTTGGTATTAAGGCTTTTAAATAAAATTAAATAAATATGCGTTGTAGCATTTTTCGAAATTCATCCCATAAGGGGGAAAAGTAGAGGATGAAAGTTTGTATGAAACTACCTTTTTTAGTTTTTTTTTGTAGTTTTGGCGCGAGCGAAGCCGCGGGTTCTGCTAAGTATATAAACATTTAACGTATTTTTAGTATTTTATGTATTTTTTTATATTTCAGTAAAGTGAAAAATAGAAGAATAAACTAGATTTCAAGTATGTACATCAGAGAAATACATGACCATTAGAGTGTCAGAAAAATATGACAGTAGAAAAGGGTTTTCAAAGCGGGTACACGAATTCCACTTTAAGACGGGTACAGCTATTAGTTTGAGCAACCCTGTCATATAAATTAATGCAAAAAGTGTAGTAAACGTAAAAATTTGAACTTTTTTCTTATTTTCTGCCAACCTTCTTTTGAACTACGTGTCTTTTAACAATGGATGAAACATACCTTTCTGGAATTTCATTTATGCAATTTATAAAGAACAGAAAATATTTATATAAATTTTGCAATATTCTTTTGTAGTTTTGCTATCAAAATTTATTTATTATTATTTTTATAGCTTTTTCATAATGGCTAACAAATTGTAAGGCTACAGATCTGGAGTCCACGACCTTAATTCCTCCACGACCGCGGACACGCCGGCGTTACAGTTAACAATAGATTTCTTAGAAAAATTAATTTCTTAGAAATTTAACTGGAGGTATTAAAGCTTAAAAAAAGGAGAGCAATATAATATAAAATATTTGTGCACTGTAATATCTCCCGTATACAGCAGCATCAGTGAGATTGGTCAATGTGATCAAAATTGGTCAAAAGTATTTAATTATTTATTACAGGCTATATTTATGTATTATATAAGTATACCCTATAATTGCTTCGTAACATTAACTATTTTTGATACTATTATAGGTGCTATAACTATAAGTGCATTTTGAGGAGCTATTCTGCTCATTATGCCGAAGAAACAAATCTGCACCATATTTTAATAAGACCAACTTAAAGTTACTATCTTTCAAATACAAAAAGAACCAACGAAAACGAATCTCATAAGGCGGAGATATCTAGTAGCTCCATTTTTGCCCATTTTTTTGAGGAAGTACCCCTCCAATCAAAATCGCCGACGACAAAAAAGTCGTAAAACCTGTAACGTAACCGATTTGGAAGAAACTTTCTTCCTGATCAGTAGTAAAATACAACCTGTAGAGGAATACCAACAAACTGACAGAGAAAAGCAAATTTTGCCAGTGCCACAAATTTGAAGCAGAGATGCTTCGCCTGCTCGGTCAATTAAAAAAATATATATATGTTTGTTACGAATAAACTCAAAAACTACAGGGCTGAAATAGATGAAATTTGGTAAAAAGATTATTTGAGACATAGGATAATTTTTATTCTGAAAATCATCCCTAAAAGGGGTGGAGAAGGGGGATGAAAGTTTGTATAGGGAATCAACCTAGGGACGAACCCAAGAGAAGCGAGGGTGAGTAGCTAGTATGTAATAAAGTTTTAATTAATAGATTTTCTTTTTGTAGACTTCTATCACAGTTTCCTCATAACAAAATACCAAGTAACTAAACGTAGCATAATCCTTTGAAACTAACTTGTGAGTAAGTTGGCAGAATTATCTTCTTCGTACGTGGCATTCACATCACGCTTTCCCATTCGTGTTACTTGTGAGGATCCTAAGTTATTTCAATGTTTGTCCTTTACCACAGTTTGCTGGACATTGCCATAGTTAGTTGTTTTCATATAACTATATATTTATGTGTAAACTTCGAAAACTTCTATTTCTTATTTATTTTCTGGCTTTGTTGACTTAGCTTTGTTAATTTTCCGTAGTTTAGGATTTTACATTCATGTGGGTAAATAAAAAGCTAACGGCTTTAAAGGTTTTCTGTATATTTATCTATTTATATTTGAATTGAGTACATCCCCTACTTTTTCAATAATTTCGTTAGAATTTAAAAAAAAACAATTATGGAGTCATTACTTTTAAATATTTTTTTTTCTTTTAAATTACCTTTTAAATCATAATGTAATATACTTCCTAATGGATCAATTTTCAATCAAACGAGAAACCCTTTTATCTATTGACCAGATTAAACGTAAAAAAACACAGTATTACGTGTGTTTTAATTAATTTAAAAAATAAACCTTTTTTAAATAAAAAAAGTCATTTGATTACTAATATTTAACTTAGGAATAAATATAATATAATAAGTTTTTTATATATCATTTTTATTATATGTTGGGACATTAACACTCAACACCATCTAGTTCCATGGTAAGCTACGAGGCTTGTGTTATGGATACCAGATAGCTGATACACTACACATATATAACTATAAATTCATACATATTATAAAATATAAACACCCATGACTGAAATACAAACATTCGTGCTCATCACATAAATGAATGCCCCTAGCGGGACTCGAACCCGCGACTGCTCGCACAGCAAGTAGGGTCACCACACGCTAAGCCAAACGTGACGTCGAAATAAATATAATAAATAGGTAAAGACAAAACAGACCTTTTTCTCCTCTGTTTGTCAACCGATATTCTTTGTTTAGTAGTTATTGGTGAGCTCTAGTATTATCAATAAAAATATTTGAACACAATTCTATTCATAATATATGTTATGCCACAAATTTTTAATAATTATTTTGGTTGAATTTAAACCGCTGGACGAACACAAGTTTTTATAATAAACTTAAGTTAATGATTCAATTAACATTATATATATATATATATATATATATATATATATATATATATATATATATATATAATTTAGAATTTAATTTAAAAAAAACATACCTATCACAACTCCATCTACACTCGGACCGAAAGCGTAAGAGAAGTCGGGAGCATGGACAGGTGCAGACAACAACGCTTCTAACGGTCGTTCTCGTAAACATCGTAGTAATGCAGGCGGAGTAAGTTCTGCGAGAAAAACAGGTCGATAAAAAAGTTTGTCTAATATTTAACACCTTTCTACCTTGCTTCCAGTTCTTCTAGTATCTAGATTTTAGATTTTTTAGAAATATATTCATCTTTTTCTTAGATTTTTAAATGAAGCTATCTTTTAGGATTTAGTTGCGGTTTTATTTTATACTTTTGTTCTACACGTTTCGAATGTTTTACAGCAAACATGGTCACTGGAGAGACCGGCTCTCTTGTACCGCCGCCCCTTCAAAAGAGCGACGAAATATGAATAGGTAGTTCGTCAAAATTGTTTGTCAAATGTTAAATATTTGCATTTAAATTGTAAATCTAAGAAACTAGTATCATTAGCTCTTCTAAAATCCGTACTCACGGTAGATACAATAGAGTAGTAAGTTTATGGAGCTTGATTTTTATGATTAAATCGGTTGATAGATAGTACAAGATGAAGTTTACATAAGTATATCTGTATATATCTATATGTATATCTTTAAGGGTTAAGAAAATGAAAAAGGTTTGTACAAAAAATGATGTCGTAGATTAGGCCCTGAGCACTTTCATGTAAAAAAAAATGTTTGAGCGCGTATAGAACAGATCTAAAAAATTTTAATTAAAAAAGACACAAGAAAAACTGTCGAAAATTTGTAGATCATGTAATTTACATAATAGTTGTTAATAGTAGTTTTAGGTCATACAGAGCACTAGCAAAATAAAAAAAATGAGCGAGAGAAGCATTTGTATAGTAATATCTACGTATTACTCTAGGTAATATAGATAAAATTTCGTCCAAACCCGTTCAGGCGTTTTAGCTCAAAGGAGTAACAAATATACACACATATAAAAACTTTTGCATTTATATAAGTAATTTGATTAGTATAAAATAACATTTTAATTTACAAAATAACAATAAAATCATTATATAACTAAGATAATATATAACTTCTATATACCTGGAGAACAATTTGCGTGGTTTGCAACTATTTCCGCATATTTGTTAGGATCAGCCACTAGTGACCACGGGCTTAGGCCTGACCCCGACATCAATATCGCTCTGTGGAAGAGGAGTCCTGAAACAAGTTAAATGTATAGTAATATTTTATTTTCTATAGTTAATATACACAACACAACAAATGAAAAATACTTGTAATATTGTGTGGAGTAATAATAATTATTTTTGTAATATATGCTGTAAGGTTATAGTTTTTAATGCCAAGAAAAAATGTTACACAAAAAAAATCGGAAACTTATCAGAAAAGGAACCAAAAATAATTGGCACTTTTTTACCAATTTGAAACGTTGGTGTTCAAATAAAATCAGCTTTTCGGATTTTTGGCCGATTCATTTTGTTTTTTTGATTCCAAAAAAACTTATCAAAATAAATCCGCGAAAAAATCCGGAAGGATAGTTTAATTTAAAATTTCAAAATATACTCGTATTGGTACAAATCTAAAAAGTATTAGGTGCACAATGTGGCTCGCGCTATTTTATATGTATTTTACGCGATATTTTCACAAATAATGAATTCAAAATTACTTTACTGTAAAATTAATTCTTTGTAGATACTCACAAGAAAAAAAGTTGTAATAAAATATAGTTATTTTCTTATAATTTTATGAATACACTCACCCTCACTCACATACTCACCCTCGCTTCGCTCGGGTTCGTTCCTAGCTTGTTTCCCAATAAAAACTTTCATCCCTATTTTCACCCCCATAAAAGATGATTTTCGGGATAAGAATCTATGTATGTATGTATATACAATCTATGTATCCATATCCTTCCCAGGGTCTCAAACTATCTTCTTACCAAATTTCATCTAAATCGGTTCAGTAGATCCAGAGATTACCCCCTACAACGTCACAAACTCACAAACTTATAATCTTTATAATATTAGTATAGTTAATATATCTATTATAATTTATGATTATTAACAACATGTCAAGACTAAAATGGTATAAAATTCTAATCACTAGCGGGAGTAAATTCACTTTGTAAAATTTAAATTGAATTTCGGCTCCTCTAAGAAGTGATACAAACCAATTTGTTCAGCAGTCAATATTTGACGTTAAATAATATCACTTGAATATTGATGAAATGTTAAAATAGCAAATTGATTACGTTTTAGGTAAGTTATTTTACGATTGAAGCACCAGCCAAAGGTTAGGAGGTGTTATTAAAAAGAAACATATTTCGATTTGTTTTTAACCGACTGCGCGAGATGGGTAATGTTTATTCATTCTACTAATCTTGTTAATTTTAAAATTTATGAGGATGTATATATATATATATATATATATATGTGTGTGTATGTTTGTTATTCTTTTTCCCAAAAACAAAACGGATTTTGATGAAAATTTGTTGTAGTAAAGCTGATAGATGATAACGTATAAGCTATAACTTATAAAGATATTATAGTAGGTAATGCTTAATTGATATAAGCGGGCAGTGACGTGGGAAAATGCTAGCTGTATATCCATACTAATATTATAAATGTGAAAGTGTGTTTGTTTGTCCTTTTTTCACGTCGAAACGGAGTGACGGATTGGAATGATTTTTTGTGTGGAGATAGTTGGAGGGCTGGAGAGTGACATAAGCAACTTTTACCGCGGGAGATTATCTAATTCCCACGGGAAAACATGTTATAATACAATCCAAAAAAATATTTAAGATTAGAACTACTTGAAACTTGGTAATAATGCTCTTCAATAAAATTAAATAAATATGTGTTTTAGCATTTTTCGAAATTTATCTTATTAGAAGGTGAAATAGGGGATGAAAGTTTGTATGAAACTACCTTTTTAGAGATATTTTTGTAGTTTTAGCGCGAGCGAAGCCGCGGGATCTGCTAGTATAGTATAGTAATGTAATTATTAGAAATTCTCTATGGTTTAGTGGCTTAATAGATTTGAGCATGAGATGTAAGATTCGTCCTAATAGTGAGAGTGACACAGCGTATATACAGCTATCATCGTCTAGGTGCTTATTTGTCCAAACGACCAATTTTCCTAAATAGTTATTAATTTTATTTATATCTAAAATACAGATTTTACTTTAAAAAAGACGAAAACATGTATTATCTACATATGTATATATCTTCGAAATAAAATTTTGTTTTTAAGATAAAGGAAATAACTCTAATATATAGTAAGTACAACAAGTATTGTTAGTTTGAACAAATAAGCACTAACTATAAAACGGTCTGTGAATGGTATGTACTCGTACTATGACCAAAAATCTTATGCTACTATGATAAAAAATACAAAAAAAAATACTTGATGCCTCCACGACCGCGGACACGCCGGCATTACAGTTAACAATAGATTTCTTAGAAATTTAATTAATTTCTTAGAAATTTTACCTGGAGGTGTTAATATATCATAATTTAATATTTTTAATTTTCAATATAACAATTATCTACACTAGTTACATTATACGACTTGGGTCTCATGCAAAGTGTTTTTTCCATTTTATTAACATCTGGCAACTAAGTCCAGAATTAAAATTTTTAAATTGAAATTACTAAAATGAAAATTAAACAATATATATCTTCACAAATATTCATATTATTTGTAATATTAAATATTAATAAATTGCTTAGTTACTACTAATTACTAGTTCAAAAACCAAATAACAGTTTTTACTTTGATTTAAAAGAATCTGGTTCCATACAAAAATGAAGTCGTCGCAATTGAAAACCCAACTCCTTGACCATTAGACCACAAACTAAATGTGAAAGGCGAGAACAAATTCAAACAAAAATAAGAATGTCTGTCACTGACATAATTCGCGACGACAAAAGTATACACTTATTTGCAAACAAAGTAAAAATGAAATTTCACTGTAAAATCCACAGGAACCTTTCTTCGAGCTGCCTTTTATTTGAGTCAAAGAGCTGACCTACTGTAGTTTCAAACTTTACTCTAAAGATTCTTACAGATTTCTTATAAAAGTAATCTAGAATGTTAACGTTTCTTGAAATTTACGTGGAGAAAATATTATTATTTTTTGTATTTATATCCAGTTTAAAGCCTCTCTTTAGATCAATCATTTGGGTTTTAATATTGAATGTTATTTAACTCACAATGACAGCGTGATCGATTATTTATTTTCCGCAACTTACTTTAGTCACACCGGCACGTTCAATATGATATAGTCCAGAACGTTTAATATGTATAGATATAGTCTTTACTGGTATTAGGTTCAGGGTACTAACTATTAATGAGAATACGATTTTTTTAGTGTCTTGCTATCACAAAATATAATCTGTAACGGTATACCTAAGGGAATCAAGTGTTTCCCAGAAAAGAAAACTACGATCCCATAAGTTTTTTTAAGTAATTAGATACTCCAATATAACAGTAATATGTTTATATAGTGATGATATGATTACTGTGTTATTTTTTTGTGCCCTTTTAACGTCCCAGTGTTGGGCGTGGGCCTTTCTTCAATACAAGGGGGATCAGGTCATAATCCACCACGCTGGCCAAGTGCGGGCGGACTTAACATATTTAAAAAAACTTTAGCTCTAATCTCTAAGCTGTCTTAAGCATACAGGTTTCTTCATGATGTGCTCCTTCACCATAAGACAAGTGGTAATCATGTTTGAAATTGCTTGCACATAAAAATATCGCAGGTGCGGCTTGAGATTTGAACCCGCTTCCCTTTTCCCAAGCAAGCACGTTACGTACTGTTGCTTTAGCGCGTTAACACCTATTAATTTTTACAAAAAATTAATTCGCATTGTCAAATAAGCCACAATTGGGTACATATACAGGGTCATTTTTAATTACTGAAAACCTTTTGGGAATTTACTGCTTACATCATAACAACGACATCTGTAATAAAAAAAAATATTTCTTAAATTTTACAAAAATAAAAGTATTTTTATTGCTCCTTCTAAACGGTAATAGTCCAGCAATTAGCAAAAGAAAGCGCATGACCGGTGGAGGGGGAGGGGTGGAGGGGTGTAGGAAGTGGCCCTTACTCATTTAAACTTGGCCAGATGCTAGAACTTTACCGTTTAGAAGGTGCAATAAAAATATTTTTATATTTGTATGAAAATAAAAATTTTAGAAATATAATTTTTTCTTATTACAGATGTTGTTGTTATGACGTAAATAGTATATTCCCAAAAGGTTTTCAGTAAATTAAAAATGACCCTGTATATGATCGTATCGGTATACCTAAATATAACCGAATAAATTTAACTATTCGATTGGCTCTACGTAAAATTACGTGACTGTAGATATTAATAAAAGAGCTCGTTAAGGTTTACTTAAATAAATGACATTGGTTTAACTTTAAACCGCATGCACGCGTTTACGAATGAAATTCATGATATTTTAACCAATTTCAGTGGCTTTCATGAATCAAAGTGATAATATTATATTAAGAATGCAACTGTAATATGTATGTATTTTATACAGAATTATTTTTTTAAACTCTACCTTGTTATGTTCACTAGTATTTTCTTAGATTTACGCGAATATTTGACATACATTCTTCCATATTTAATAATTTAAATGTGAAAGTGTGTTTGTTTGTTTGTTTGTTTGTGATTCTTTCACGTCGAAACAGTGATGGGTTGGCGTGATTTTTTGTGTGGAGATAATTGGAGGGCTGGAGAGTGACATAAGCTACAGCTTTTTACCGCGGGAGATCATTTTATTCCAACGATAAAACACGTTATATAATACAACTCACAACAACTTGTAGGTACATATTTATTTATAATATATAGTCATCTTTTATATATTAACCGTTAAAACGTCCCTAGGGACGAAGCCAAGCGAAGCGAGGGTGAGTCGCTAGTTTTATATTGTATTCAGCCCTTTTTATCGTCCCACTGCTGGGCACGGGCCTCCCTTCAATACGAGGGGGATCAGGCCATAGTCCACCACGCTGGCCAAGTGCGGGTTGGCGGACTTAACATATCTTTCGAAAACTTGCTAAGTTCCCTCACTATAAGGCAAGTGGTAATCATGTAAGAAATGATTCGCACATGAAATATCAGAGCCTTAGTTTTATATTAATTTGTCCTAAATAAGGAGTTTTTAAGTTAACTCAG